GTGAGGGGGGGAAAAAGGGAGGAAAAAAGGTGGGAAATTGGAGGGGAAAAAGAGAAAAGTAGTGAGGGAAAAACGGTTGGAAAAGGGAGAGAAAAAAGGATGGGGAACATGAGGGGGAAAAAACCCCAACACAACTTAGGGACCCTGCACTCACTTGTACCTCACATTTTACCCTAAAAATATTCCTTCCATCACTAACAGATCACCTCGGCTTTTACTCCCAGGATTTTCCTGACCTGTCAAAAAAATAAATTACCTCAATTTTACCCCCAAAATGTCCCCTCCCAACAACTCAATTTTTACCTCAAAGTTGTCGTTCTCTCCCCTAAAGATTACCTCGTTGGCTAAACCTGGGGAAAAGACTCCAGAGATTTTTTTTTTTTTTTTCAGCAATATTTTAATTACAGGACAAAGAAGCTGCTACGTGAATATATATTTATATAATAAATCCGTAAAGTTATAAAGGAAACTGGAATTTTCTGCTTCCCATCAAAATTTTCCAGGATCAGGCGCTTTATTAGGTGGATTTCTCTTAATTATCCTCCTTGGTTCTCTTTCCATATTTTTCCACAGTTCTCCTTTTTTCTCTTTTCATTTTTCTCCTCACTCTTCTTTATCATTATTTTCCCACATTTTTCAGTATTCCTCCAGATTTCTCCATGATTTTCCTCACTTCTCTCCTAATTTTTCCACACTCTCCCCATTTTTCTTTTTTTTTTTTTCCCCTAATTTTCCATCTATCTCCACATTTTTCCCCCCCTCTAATTTCACCTCATTTCTCGCCTTTTTTTTTTTTTTTTTCCCGTTTCCCTCCTTATTGTTCCCATTTTATTTTTTTTTTTTGGTCCGCAAAACGCTGCTTTGAGGTGGGAATGTGAGTGAAAAAAAAAAACAAAAAACCCTAAAAAAAAAAAAAAAAAAAAAACCCCCAAAAAACCCCCAAAAAAATTTTTTTTTCCCCTCTGGAAAAAGCCATAAATTACCGTTAAGTGGGGAAGGGCGTAGTGTGAGGGAGGTAAAGGGAAACCCTCGGGCTGCGCCGATCCCGTGAAAAATAACCGGAATATTTCTCTCTCTCTCTCTCTCAGTGTGTGTGTGTCTCATTACCAAAGGAACCCTTTCCAGCCCGAGGGGGAAACGGGGGTTTGCTGCCGAGCCATCCCAAACCAGGCGAGTGTTGCATAGTGCAGGAGCAGGGCCGGCGGCGGCGCTCACAGGTCGCTCTCGCCGTACAGGGCCGTGGAGAAGGATTTGTAGTCCAGGGCTCCGGGCACGGCGTCGGCGCCCGCGTACGGAGCCATGCGGGCGATGCAGTACTCGGCCTGCGCCGCCGGCAGCTCCCGCCGCAGCTCGGCCGCCGTGATGTAGTTCTGGAATTGGGGGG